AGGAAGACACGATTTAAAAATTATTTTATTGTTTGTATTAATATTTCCCATTTAGCCTACATCTTAACATTTGAAATAATCATGTATACATTACATAACATACATGGAGAAAAACGTTTATACCGTAATTAGGGTTGATTTTGGAATCAACTTAGAACATGTGCATTACCATGAGATTTCTGAACATCTGACATCAGTACGCATCCTCTGGACAAAGTAAACCTAGAGAGGCACAGCCGGGCTCATGCACGTGCCTTCACGGGACTGTGAAGGTACGGGGCAGGAGGGCCCTTTTACCTGGTAGCCCAGGTGTCCTGGTGTCTTGAGGGCCTGGGGGACGCTGGGGAGGCTGGCTGTGATGGTGGTGACCTGAGACACAAGCATCACCTAAAATAAAGTCTTTAACGTGCAGCTGGCCAGAGCCTCAGCTCTGCCTAGGGAAAAGGAGTGATATTCCTTCTTGCCCTGTGTTATACACAACTGTGGTGACACCAACCACAGTGAGATAACACATACCATGTTCTTTGACAATTTTTAGGTAAATGTAAGATAAAGGTTTAGAATTTATCCCATAATCTCTTTTCTAATCTGGTGTGGTCCTGACTGGGAGAGAGGTGGGGACTGAGCCCTTCTGAGCTGCAGTGTTTCCTGTAAGGAGCTCCCACCTACCTGAGAGAGGAAGAAGAGCTGGAGACAGAGCTTCATCCACTGAACATGGCATCATGTACCAGCCTGAGCTTCATGTGAACACAACCACGTGACAAACGACAGATAATGTGAGGATATGGCAGAGTGGCCCTGAACCGCCCAGTTTTGCCTGTGTGGATGTCCGTGTGCAGAACACCTCATGTCCTGGGCTCCAGTGCACAGCAGACCCCGTCTCCCCAAAGAGTTGCAACTGGACAACCTTCTAACAGTGAACCAACAGGTGAGTGTTCACTTTGCCTCAAACATCAACATTTCAAGGAAGTTGAGCAAGGTTTCAAACATATCACATATATGCTACCCTAGATAATCAGAAAAATACTTTATTGAATTACATTACTTAATTATTTCATCAAGAAAAAAGTACAATTGCATTTGCTGTCTAACGTATCTGTGCTGGTAGGCTGGCTGAGGAACTGGAAGACCAATCATCTCTCGTGTGTAAATCCCCCAAGGTAAGCAGGTCCTACAGGAAGCATTGAGAGTCATAATAAAAACATGTTAACTTTGTCTTTGACATGACTTCAGAATTTTACACTGTTGAAGAAACGAGAATGCAAATGCCAAATAAAAAAAATAAGTTGGGGAAAAAGAGTTCATTACTCATTTCATTCATTCATTCATTTAGAGACAGAGTCTTGCTTTGTTGCCCAGGCTAGAGTGAGTGCCATGGCATCAGCCTAGCTCACAGCAACCTCAAACTCCTGGGCTCAAGCGATCCTCCTGCCTCAGCCTCCCGAGAAGCTGGGACTACAGGCATACGCCACCATGCCCGGCTAATTTTTTCTATATATATTAGTTGGCCAATTAATTTATTTCTGTTTATAGTAGAGACGGGGTCTTGTTCTTGCACAGGCTGATTTCGAACTCCTGACCTTGAGCGATCCGCCCACCCCGGCCTCCCAGAGTGCTAGGATTACAGGCGTGAGCCACCTCGCCCAGCCGAGTTCATTCCTTTAAATATATATATTTTAAAGTTCAGATATCCTATAAATCCTTTTATAAAGTGTTATTAATATATTTAAGTCATAATTTAAAAATCTATAACAAATATAAAAATGAGCATTATTGAATTTTTGAACTAGTAAAGAAACACAATTCTCAAGAATATTTAAAGTTTTGTGCCTGCCCTTGTCACACACAGTTAAAAATTTTATCCAAGACCGGTATTTACTTTTTACAGTTGGTTGAGCACTTGCCTAAATACTGCCTCTGCAACAGGCCAGAGATGCTGATTGGCGGCCTGGGGGCCGGGGCCTGGGAGGGCGGCCCAGCCTGGGAGCTTCCGAGGCTGGGAGAGCCCCCTCTTCCCACTCTACCTGGAAACTGGGATGCTGGACTTTGTGATGGTCCCTTGTAGGGAATCTGCAGCGGTGGAACCCTGATAAATTCAATAAACACAAAATCATGAATGCTTTAAATGTCCTTAGTGACATGGTAACGGCATTGTTCTGTGCTGACCGCTGTATAGTTTTCAAGGCCATCTGTTGATTAGGAAACACCTTCTGAGTGCCCAGGGTGGGCAAGGCCCGTGCCATGCCCCGCCAGGCAGACTCTCGCAGGAGGCCGTCTCTGGGCCTAGACGCCTTCCTGTTACCATCAGTGCACCCCCCACTGGATCTCTCCTTTGTGCGGTGCTGACAACAGTCAAGAGGTACAATCTATACCTTTTCCCAGGGTCAACATTAATAAGCTAAGCAGAAATAACAGGGGCAGGAGTCCAGGGTCTCATTGATCGCCTAACCTGCCTGCACAGCCGGGGGCCCACATGCTGTGGCCACTGTGCTACCCAGTCCCCAAACCTCTGGCTTGTTCAGTGAGTCCAGCACCTACTCACCATGTAGCCCTATGTGATCCTCCTCAGTCCCAGCCTACAGCTTGCCCTCTAGTCATCCCTTAACCTCGAGGGTCCTTGCAGGTCCTACCCTGAGGACTCAGAAGGTTCTGGAGGCTCTCGTGGCAAGTCTACCCATCCTCATGCTTTGGCCATCCCTCCAGGTGACGACGACTCCTGCATCTTGGGTCCAGCCCACACAAGCCTGCAGGCTCCACCCAGGCCTGTGGTTTTACTTGTCAATTGGATTTCTCTACTATATTAGGCTGTTTTTTATTGTCTGTATTTTATAATGGCTTGACATTTGGGGGCCTTGCTAGTCTTGGAGACACTGCTCTTCCCTGGGCCCAAAACTCCTAGAGATGGTGGACCACCTGCCTGTGTAGCCTTTCATATGCAAGCCCACCAATCCAAAGCCCAAATCCTCAACCGCTTCTTTATCAGCTCTCTCACCCCAAGCCCATGTCCCCCAGGCCTACACACAGCACAACAGGGGACTGGCCCCACAGCCCAGAGTCAATGGAAAGTATTCAAACTGTCCCGCTCTTTCCTAGAAGCAGTATGGCGCCCCCTTGTTCCGCTGGCTCCCTTTGCCTCTCTTGGGAACTGTAATAAACTCTCCTTTCAAGGCAGTGGTTGCTGTGCTGTCACCCTACTGCACCTGATTACAACAAAATTGGGTACTTTTTTTTGAGACAGAGTCTTGCTCTGTCACCTGGGCTCGAGTACTGTGGCGTGATCATAGCTCACTGCAGCCTTGAACTCCTGGGCTCGAGCGATCCTCCTGCCTCAGCCTCCCAAGTAGCTGGGGCTACAGGCATGCACCACCATGCCTGGCTAATTTTACAAAAGTTTTTTTGTAGAGAAGGGGGTCTCGCTATGTTGCTCAGACTGGTCTCAAACTCTTGGCCTCAAGTGATTCTCCTGCCTCAGCCTCCCAAAGTGCTGGGATTACAGGTGTTAGCCACCATACCAGGCTAACCACGGGTACATTTTAATTTATTTTCAATTTTTTTTTGAGACTGAGTAGCTCATAGCAACCTTACACTCTTGGGTTCAAGCTCACAGCAACTTCATACTCCTGGGCTCAAGCAATCCTCCTGCCTCAGCCTCCTGAGTAGCTGGGACTATAGGCATGCACAACCATGCCCGGCTAATTTTTTCTATATATTTTTAGCTGGCCAATTAATTTCTTTCTATTTTTAGTAGAGACAGGGTCTTGATCTTGCTCAGGCTGGTTCTGAACTCCTGACAGAGTGCTAGGATTACAGGCGTGAGCCACTAGAGTGCTAGGATTACAGGCGTGAGCCACTGCGCCCGGCCCACAGGTACATTTTAAAACATCAGAGATAGCTTTGCATACAACCAAGCTCATTTTCTTTACCTTGCCAAGACCCGTCCTGCTTGCACTGTCTGTCCACCCATGCAGTGGCCAGAGGAGAGGCAGAGTGAAGTGGGGGTGCGGTGACAACATATACCCTGCCCTAGGGGACATGAAAGCAGGCAAGTGGATGAGGTGGGGCAGATATTTGGGGGTACCACAGGTCCTACTGCAGGAGCCTTGCCAGGCAGATGGTGGGATGGCCTCCAGATTCGCGGGGCAGCATTCACAGCAGGGCAGGCTGGGGGAGCTGGAGCTGAATGTGAGAGGGTGCTGGAGGCCTGTGGGTGGCCAAGGGCAGACTTGACCACAGGCATCAGAAACTGTTCAAGGACTCTGAGTAAGGGGCCAACAGGGAGGACCTGCCTTTCAGAGAGACCACCTGACCTTTGAACACTTCGATAAAGAGCTCTGTGTATGGAGACATTGGTGCATGCTTAACTCCACAGCAGAGTAGGGGCTGCCCAAAGGCCTAAGGAGAAGCAGGTGAGGTGAACCAGGGTCTGTCCAGGGGCTGGCAAACCATTGCCATGCCACCGCCAGCCCCTGCCGTGGCAGATGCAGTTTCACTGGGCACAAGCCACGCACCTCTGTTGACACACTGCCCGCCACCACCTTCTCAATACAAAGACAGTGCTGAGTAGTTGTTCAAAATGCCAAAAATATTTACTACCTGCCCTTTACAGAAAACACTGGCTGACCTCTGGTCTATTCCTGTGATAAAATATCACGCAGCCATTCAATGGTTCTTTTAGAGTTTCAGCAAACTTAGAGTTTCAGCTAAGTTATGTTTTAGCTTCAAAAAAACAAAATATATAAAGTGATACATACAATATAAGCTCACTCAAAACATATAAAAATAGGATTAGAAAGCAATGAACTAGCGTTTTAACAATAGCTATTTCTAGTGAGTTAGATTATGAGTAAGTTTTACATTGTTTATATTTTCCCTTTTACATATTGTTAAGAAGTCACACGTAGGACACTAGACACTACCTGAGAGCCTTTGCCGAGCTCTGACTTGGTGTCAGGCTGAGGTTCTGAGGGCCTCGGTAGGAGACGCTGCCTGTGGGGAGAGGGAACAGAACATACGTTGTTTATGTTAACACATCACGACACTTGGAAGACCACACAAACCTGCTATGTTTCCCTGTAGCGGTCACTCTCTCCCCATCAGTAACGGGTGGAACCGCATGAACGCACAGATCGAGTTCTCCGGTTGCTACACAACCCTAAGCATCCACAACGATCTCCCTGAGGACGCCCGAGTTCTTCCGACTCCACAGAAGCATTCACATGAGGGGAGCGCAAATGTTTTACATTTTAATCTTTTTACCTTTTTGCACCTTTGCAACATAGAGGATATTTAAACCATCTGAATAAATTGGCAGTTCAATATCAAGACCTGGAACCCAGGACTGGGCAGTCCCGCTGACTTTTAGAGTCTCACACAAGAGCTCTTGGGCCAAGGCTTGTACCTCTGCCGGCCCGGGGGGCCCAGCTGGGGAGGGCCTGCCCGTGCACCAGGCAGCTGTGGGCATGCACTACAGAAGCGCTCAGCAAAATTCTGGAGACTTGACTTCCCTCCACGTGCTGAAGCCTTGGCTGCTGTTACTCTGGAAACTGCCGGAGGAGCAAAAGCACTTTCAGAAGTTCTTCGGCTCCTTCTACATGGGAGTCCGACCCGTGTTTCACTCCCTCCATTTCCCTGGTAACATGAAAAGGGGGTGTGACAACTTTGTTCTGGGGCAACACCATGCATGGTCAAATTGACCCTGGGCTGGGAAACCTAACAGGCCGGCGAGCCTAAGCTGTACATTCCTCTGAACTCTCGGACTGGCCAGTGCCCGGTATGTCATGGAATCTTGGGAGGGGGGGCTTGTCTGTGGGGCCAGAGGCCCTGAGCAAAAGGCAGCCTCTGCATCCCTGATGGGATTTTTTATGCCCCATGATGTGGTGTGGACTGTGAAGACACTGTCTGCTGGCAGCACCATAATGCTCCTCAATCTGCAGGTGACCCTCAGAAGGCATTGAAAAATGGCTGAGAACCAGGGAGGCTGTGTAGATCTTGTCTTTAAATTTTCTGTGTTTTATGGCCAGGCGCAGTGGCTGGAGGTCAAGGTGGGAGGATCGCTTTAGCTCAGGAGTTTGAGACCAGCCTGAGCAAGAGTGTGACCCCATCTCTACAAAACATTTAAAAATTAGCCAGCTGTGATGGTGGTGCCTGTGGTCCCAGCTACTTGGGAGGCTGAGGCAGGAGGATCGCTTGAGCCCAGGAGTTTGAGGTGGTTGATACTGCTGGGATAAAGCCTGAAGAGGAGAGGAGCACCCATGTCATCTCGGACCATCCCTCCATAAGATATGCATCCCTTATGAGGGACATGATGACTGCAGTGGAGACACCTGGTAGATGCCAGTGTGGTCAGGTAACTGAGGTTAATGTCCTCATGGAGGGACCAAGTGACCACAGTTAATATCTCTGAGGTAGATTAGGCCAACGTGATGTGTCCCAACATGATGTACTGAGAAGAGCGGTAGCATTTCTGGGGCCTTCCTGCCGAGAGAGGGCGGTCTGTTCTCACAAGGAAACACCAGATGACCCAGGTATTGGTCACCCTTCAGAATTTAATGTCTATATTCTTTACAACTATTAAGGACAAGAAACAGGAAGTACGAGGGAATGCCCAGTCTGAAGGAGATGAAGAGACATTACAAAGAGATGCAGCTTGTCCTACACAGGAATCTGGACTGGAGAAGAAAAGAGACTGCGGTGACGGCTGCTGGGACAGAAGAGCCGTCACCATGGACGCCAGGCATGGGCTGTGGGTGGTCTGCAGAAAAGTGCTCTTGTTCTCTCAGGGGCACTAAGTCTGTAACATGCTCGTGTTCGGGGAAGCACCGATGGCAACGGGCAGGGAGCAAATCTGGCAAAATGTTAATAGCTGGGGAATCTGGGTGAGGGAGACAGAGGAGTTTTTACACTGCTCTTATAATTTTTCTGTGTGCTCTTACTATTTTCAAAATAATTTATTTTAAAAAATAAGTTGGATAGTCATCCTACAGCATACCTCAAGATAAATTCTGAAGAATTTGGAAAAAGGTAAACATTAAAAACTAGAAAAATTCTGCTCTGTGAAAGACAATGTCAAGAGAATGAGAAGACAAGCCACAGACTGGAGAAAATATTTGCCAAAGACACCTGATAAAATACACACAGAACTTTCAACAATAAGAAAGCAAACAATCTGATTAAAAAATGGGCCAAAGACCTGAGCAGACCAGCAAAGGAGATACACAGATGGCAAATAAGCGCACGGAAAGATGCTCAGAATCATGTATTATCAGCAAGATCAAATTCAAACAGCGAGATCCCACTACACACCTGTTAGAATGGGCCAGAGTCACAGCATGGACAAAACCACACACTGGTGAGGGTGTGGAGCAACAGGGGCACTCACTTCCTGCGGGTGGGAATGCAAAATGCCATGGCCTCTTTGGAAGACAGTTTGGCAATTTCTTTCAAAACTAAACACACTCTTGCCATATGATCCAGCAATCACACTCCTTAATATTTACCCAAAGGAGTTGAAAACGTGCACACAAAAACCTCCCCATAGGGGGGGAAATGGGCATTTATTGAAACCTTAAAATCTGTACCCCCATAATATGCCGAAATAAAAAAAAAAAAAAAGAAAAGAAAAACCTGCCCATGGACACCTACAGTAGCTTTACTCATAATTGCCCAAACTCAGAAGCAACCACAGTGACCTTCAGTAGGTGACTAGATAAGTAAACTAGGATATATCCAGACAATGAAATACTATTATTCAGCAACTAAAACGTGAGCTAGGCAAGCCATGAATACATGTGGAGGAAGCTTAAGTGCATATTACTAAGTGAAAGATGCCAATCTGAAAAAGCTACAAATCGTATGACTCCAACTATATGACATTCTGGAAAAGGAAAAAGTATAGGGACAGTAAAAGATCAGTGGTTACCAAGGGCTGGGAGAGAGTGGGAGAAGAGATGCACAGGGGGTTTTTAGGGCAGTGACACTGCTCTGTATGATACTGCAAAAGTAGACACATGTCATCATGCATTTGTTCATGCCTCTAGAACATACCACACGAAGAGCCCTAATGTAAACTGCAGGCTCTGATTGATAATGATGTGTCAATGTGGGTTCACCAGTTTTAACAAACGGACCACCCTGGTGGGGTGTTGATGGTGGGGGAGGCTGTGCATGTGTGGGCACGGGGGTATACGGGAAATCTCTCTACTTTCTTCTCAATTTCTACATGAACCTGAAACTGTTCTAAAAAATTAAAGTCTAGGAAAAAACAAAATAAAACAACTAAACCAGTTGATTTAGGTATGTGAAAAAACCTACCCAACCATGAAAACCTATGAAATAAAAAGGATAATAGATTTGAGCACATAAAAATATTAAGTTTCTTAAAATCCAAAGTTAAATACAAAATTACAAAGCAAATTGAGTAAAATGTCAAATCCTTCATATCGAAGACTTCATAAACATAAAACACAAAGGGCAAAACAGATAATTCCTAGCAAAATATAAGAAAGGCGTAAAAACACTCGGAATCATTAACAATCACAGAAATGAAAATCAAAATGATGACCTTTCCTTTCAGACTGGCAGAAAGGTGGCCCAACAGATACGGTGTTGCTGACAAGGATATCGGGGCACGCTCAGCCTGCTGGCAGAAGGGAAACAGGGTGGCCCTTTTTAAAACTTATCCACATACATCAAAAGCTAAGAGAGTTCACGTGTTTTGTGTGGTCTTCTAAAACTGTATGCTAATAGGAGAATCCAGTGACGACAAAAGTCTATGCACAAAAACGGTAAACCTCGGAACCACAACACACATGGGGACAGTGAGGTCAGGCACAGCCAGTCCGCAGGACGGAGCAGAAATCGGCTGTGGGAAGATGTGGCTGGCACAGTACTGGGAAGACAGCCCGCATGGTCTGAGGTCAGGGTGTCCCACATACATGTCCCACACGCGAGACAGAGCAGGGGCTCTGCTCAGAGCGCCCCACTCCCACACCAGCACGGGAGACAAGGCCGGAAGCTGCAGAGCGGCTTCTCCCGGTGATGAGGGCGAGCCAGAGGCCATGTGATTCCGGGCAGTGCTGGGCACGGGGGGAGCCAATGCCAGGGGCCTCCCAGGCCAGGGTGAAGAGGAGAACCAGAGCAGGGTTGGGGGCTCGCTTTAGAAACAGACCAGCAATCCAAAGCCAAGTACCAGTAAGCAAACCCAGTACCACTGTTTCTGTTTAAAACCAAGGGGAGGCCGGGCGCGGTGGCTCACGCCTGTAATCCTAGCTCTCTGGGAGGCCGAGGCGGGAGGATTGCTCGAGGTCAGGAGTTCGAAACCAGCCTGAGCAAGAGTGAGACCCCGTCTCTACTATAAATAGAAATAAATTAATTGGTCAACTAATATATACAGAAAAAATTAGCCGGGCATGGTGGCGCATGCCTGTAGTCCCAGCTACTCGGGAGGCTGAGGCAGGAGGATTGCTTGAGCCCAGGAGTTTGAGGTGAGCTAGGCTGACGCCACGACACTCACTCTAGCCTGGGCAAAAAAGTAAGACTCTGTCTCAAAAAAAACACAAAAAACAAAAAACCAAGGGGAGACAGAATGCAAAGGAACCAGTTTTCTTCTGAGACTCACTCAGCAGTAAGCACAAGAGCTTCTCCCTGAGAGATTCAACAGCTGCACCATTTTGTAAGTGTATAGACCCCCTGTGCTGACTTGGTTGAAGGACAACACTCACCTGGGTAAACGCTGATGGCTTTGATTAAACGTGACTTTACAGAGAACATATTTTAACCCATGTGTGGCTTGATCTGGGGTGAGGTTACAGGAACTTTTACTTACCCATGCGTCCATCTTGGGGTGGACTAATCAAGGAGATCCTTGCAGGGCCAGCTGCTACCTCAGGCTAAGTATGTAAAAAGAAAACAACTGATAAAATTCCCAAACTACCATTTATGAAATTCAGAATCTCATTATTTCTTTTTTACCTTTTATTTTTAAATTTTTTTAGAGACTAGGTCTCGCTCTTTCACCCAGGTTGGAGTGTAGTGGCGTCATCATAGCTCACTGTATCCTCAAACTCCTAGGCTAAAGCAATCCTCCTACCTCGGCCTCCTGAGTAGCTCAGACTACAGGTGTGCGCTAGCCACTCCTAGCTAATTTAAAAAAAATCTTTGTGGAGATAGGATCTTACTACATTGCCCAGGCTGGTCTCAAACTCCTGCTCAAGCAATGTTCCTGCCTTGGTGACCCAAAGTGCTGGGATTATAGGTGTGAACCACACGCCTTGCCTCATTGTTTATTAAGAACATATTTCAGGGAGCTCTGTCTCCTTAGTCTTTATTAGCCTCTGACAAATTCCTGGCTGGTGTGGTTCTGTGTTCACCTCCAGCTCCTGCCTGCTGGAATGCTGGCCCCATGAGGCTGGCAGAAGTGGGTGGGAACTCTGATGCACCAGGAACTAAAACAGTGAATGGATCAAGGACACCACTAAGTGTTTTTAAGAATTTTAGGAGAGAGAAAAGTTAACAAAATATCTTGGCTGATATTAGAAAATGTAAAATCCTGGGTAAATCCTCATCTTGGGTGCATAATTTTGTCACCTTGAAATCCAAGTGCTGACAGATAGGGTGGAGGCAATACTCATGGAGCTGCGTGCGCCAGGTCCCGTTGTGCCAGCCTCCACGCCACCCAACAACTGCAAGGCAGGTGCTGCCACTTCTCTGCCTGACCCATAGGAAGCTGAGAGCCAAGGCTGCTAGCCCAGGACGGAGGCTGGTGGTGGAGGCCAATCCTGCCGTTTGGTGTTACCTGGGGGTGTCAGCATGGTGCTATGTACAGCCTCCTTCCTGGGGTCCCTCCTCCAGCTGCCAGGTCCCTTGCCTCAGCTGTGAGTCCCAAGACTCTGCTGTCACTGGCTGTACTCTACTGAGATGTGGCTACCATCTTTCTGGCTCCTGCACACTGGCACACCCACCACACAGATCCTTTCATCTGAAGGCACTTCTGACCCATCACAGAAGCCCCTGTGTCCTCTCGGCTTCTCCATCAGTGCAGGGCAGGCCTCACTCCAGGGGCACCCTCTGCCACACCCTAGACCCCACCTTGCCTGTCCTCCACTCTCACTTGGTGGCAAGACTACAGCCCTGGAGGGACCAGCCCTTCAGCCTCAATGGCCCTCTGTGTTGCCCTCAGGCCAGCTCTCCCACAGAGCTGCCACTTGGCACGCTCCCTTCCACCCAAGCTGATGGCTGCACTCACACCCCAACCAGAGAGCCCTGTGAAATCGCCGCCTCTGCCTCATCAGGGCAGGCTCCAGGTACTTCCTCTCACTTGCCAGGGGTGCTCTGATCCCTTCCTTTCTGATCCTTCCATCAGCTACGATACCTTCAGTGTGTAGTGCATCTTAAGAATCCCTACATCACCTCCCCTTGGAGCTGTGTTCCATCTGGTGTAATCTGCAGTGCCGGAGCGCCCAGGCTCCGCGGGGTGGGTGCTGAGGAGGGCTGGTCAGGCACTGTGGCGAGCACCTGCCACGCTTCACGGCCTCCTGGCCTCCCCCAGGCTTCCTGGATGAGACATGCCAAGCCTGGAGCACACCTGGGAGCTGCCAGCGAGGACTGGGATGTCAGCAGCTGTGCTTACCGCACTCAGATCCTGACAGTCTAGACTGGGCCAGGTGTACATTTCTCCTGGGACCGCCCGACAGAAAGCAGGCCCAGACTAGGCCTGGACAGTTCTGGGAACAACACCAGACAGCCAAGAGGCCTCAGCGAGTCGTCCCAAATGTCGGACTGCCATTCTGGGGAGTGTGCCTTCCAGAGTGGAGGCCTCCACAGAGCAAGCTCGGAATTTATGGGAGAAACAAGACCCCACCAATGCCCCTTTAAGTTCGCACAGAACACCAAGAGGAGTAGCAGCAGGTCTTTCAAATCCTCTCCTCCCACGGTGTCTGCCCAGGCGTTTCCGTAAAGATGGCAGAGGGACGCTCTGAGTTCTCCCCCGCTGGGATTCCATGCCACCCCCATGCCTGCCCAGTTGTGTGTGACGGGCACCACACGTGGGCTCGGCCCATGGGATGTAGTTGAAACGTGCTACCTTGTCCCCCTTGGTCTGTTTATACCTTACCTAGCGGAGGGTTTTCCTGCCAGAGAATAAACACCTGGTAAGGCTCAGGATGTTCCTGATGTCAGAAAAAAGCATGAAAGATCCTTTGGGGCCTACGTCTTTCCTTGTCCTGGCACTGTCTTCCAGCTGTGAGCTGCAGAAGACGTTGGCGCCAATGTTTTTGTCCATGGGCTGGGGTGGACTTGGTCCCACCACATGGGAAGGCAGTGCCTCCATCAGCCACAGAGCCACAGTCCTGGCTGCCTACATGTGTGTTTGCTCTTGGATTCCACTTCAAACTAGTTTTCACATTTTACTGGTGTCCCTCATTAACTCATGAGCTAAAGTCAGTGAACTTGAAATAATACCAACACATAGAAATGATAAACACTCAAGGTGATGGACACCCCGATACCCTGAGGTGACTATTACATAGTCTACGCAAGTAGCAAACATTTACATGGATGCCAGAAATATGTGAAATAAACATAAATTAAAAAATTTAAAAACCAGCAAGGATATATTATCAATAAAAAAGTATGTGAGAGGTGTTTATGTTTGTGAATTATGATTTTACCTTTTAAAAAAATCTCCATTAACACTGGTCAACTGTACACAGTAGAAAGTCCTGTGCTCAAAGTTGACAGCCTGAAATCATCTGGCCAGTCTGACCCTTAACTGACACTCCTCTCCATGGGAAGGCAGACTCCCCTTCCCTCCTCCCCTCACCAGCAGCTACAGGGCCCCAGGTCTGGTGCAGTGAGGGAGGAAGAAGAGGGAAGAGACAGGCCCTGCCAGGATGGCCCCGGCTGTGCCCAAGCATCCACATGGGAGGCATGGGCCCTTCTTGCCTGGCTGCTAGCTGTGCTGGCCTCTGCTTCTCCAGTCTACCCTAAGAGACTCCTGTGCTGTGGCCCTCTCCTTCGATGAGCCTTGGCGCAGGAATGCTACCAAGACCACCCTAGATGACACTCCTTCCTGGGGGGGCCCCAAGTAGGTGTGGGGTGTTCACCAGAGAGTAGGAACCCAGTCCGCACAGGCATCTGAGTGGTCTCCCAGAACCTCTGTTCAGCCTGGGTTTACTAGGAACCCTCCTCACTCTACCCCACTTGGGGTGCAAAGCCACTTTCTCTGAAGAAGCCTCTACATACATCCACTCCAATGTGACAAGGAGTTTCAGAAGGTATACTAGTTTTCGATATTTTTCTTGAAAATTGCCTTCTGGTGTAGCACAGGGGTTGGCAAATGTGGCCCACATCCTGTTTTTGTTAATAAAGTTTTGTTGGAACACAGCCATGCCCATTTACTTCCATACTGGCTGCTGCTTCTTCCATTTACTTCTATGGCTGCTTCTGCGATCCAATGACAGCTGAGAGGCTGCGACAGAGACTTTCTGGTCTGGAAAGTCCAAATTATTTACTATCTAACCCTTTATAGAAAATGTTTGCCCATGCCTGGTCTAACACCTCACTTTGGAATTTTGAATGCATTCTGGTCTTTCAGCTGCCATCTGCAATGTAACGCCCAATGAGGTGTGAATCAACTTTGCCTGTCAGTCTTGAGCATTCCCTATCCTCATTTGACTATCCGAATGCTACGGAAACCCAGGACACTGACCTGACGGGAGAGAATTCTCCCCCTTTAAGCTGTGGGGACTTGAAGGTCATGAGTTCATCCCTGAAACAAGGCCATGAGTGTACCAAAGGACAGAAGAAGTGGGCATCCAGCCTTGGAGGCACATGGTGGGGATCTGTGGGGGAGGCTCCAGGAGAGGTGCGGCCACACGGAGCGTCTCCTGTCTGAAGTCTGGAAGCGCAGAGTCAGCAGGGTGGGCGTGGGTGTGGACGGCAGGTGTTGGGGAGGTGAGCTGGGTAGGAAGAGGAGGCTCATGCTCCAACCAGCTGCCAAGGAACTAGGGTTTCTCCTCCACCAAAGCTGCAAATGGCTCTTCATTCCCTATTAAATAAAATCCACCTTCTTATCCTGGAATCAAGGCCCCTCTACAATTTGGTTAAGGGTGGTTCCCTTAGAGACAAGCACTGTTGCTCAGTAAGAAGTCTGCAGAGCAGAGACCACCTCACAGACTACTGGGAGACTGAAGTCCTGTTCACAGTGTTCAGAACAGTGTGTGCAAACGAGCAACACATACATCAAGTAAGGAAGTAACTAATACAAATAAATAAATGTGCACCAATCAATGCGCTCACTCCACTGTCCTGCCTGTGCTCCCTGACCCCAGCTGCAGCCCACCCTCCTGGGTCTTCCTCACATGCTGCTGGCTCCCTCCTTGCTTGAAGCCACCTGCTGCTTGGCTGAGGGTGTGTCTGAGTCCCACACTGCCTGGCTGGGCAGATGATGGAGAGCTGGGCCTGGGGTGTCCCTGAGTTTTGGCCAGATTTCCTCTGGTCTTGTTTCTCCCCAATTTCTTTCCAATTTGAAGCTGTTTTCTGTTTTTCAGAGTCCTTCAAATTTCTCACCCACTTCTTTTCCTGGGCTGCAAGGACTTATTGTTTTTTTCTTTAGCATTGTCTGTCAATTCTTGAGACTGCAGGTGAAGGCAGGTAAAGCAGAGGGCCACCAGCCCTACTGCCACCTGTCCTGGACACCAGCACAGGGCTAGCAGGGGCCAAAAAGGGAACAACATGAGACCAACACTGGAACAATGTGGGACCAATATAAGAGCAACATGGGACCAGCATGGGACCCTGCTGCCCTCCCCACCTACTTTCTTCCTCCAGATCCAACTGCAGTCTCAAGTGTTCGGGCTGAATGGGAAAGTCTGTAACAGTCTTACCACAACCCAACACACAGCCGCGGGGCAGCGCACAGTGCAGAGGCACCGTTAGAGGTCAGTCTACTGTTAAATGAAGTTTAACTAGTGCTGAGAGAAGTTGGAAATACTAGATATCTGGTGTATGGGAAACCAGCAACACAGTAGGACAGATGTACTTACTTTTCTCATTGGGGAAGGAGTAAGATCAACTTCCATCGACTCCACTCTGTTAAACACATAGTGAAAGGCATTAATTGAGCCCAAGACTAATCTATAATTACATAACATCAATTTAAACACACATACAAGACCACATACACACGTCTAAATCTTCCTCTAGTTCCATGGTGCAATCAGAGCTTAGTCAATCACAGATCTGATCACTGTCATTTCCCTTCCTAAAACTCTCCACGTCCACCCACTGTCTGTAAATCGAATGCAGCCTCCCTCCAGAACACTGAAGCCTCCTGCCCGGGCCCTGGCCGAGTTCTTCTTCACACTGCACTAGCAGCTGTATCTCCCCCGTTCTCCCTGGAGCGTCTGTTCCTTCGGCTCTGTACACACCACCTCTGCCTCCAGACCTCCCCCACTCTGCGCTCTGCTAGCACCTGCCTGGAACCTCCTGAGTGGGGAATGTCTTCCTGACTTTGCTAACACTTGCTCCCTGGCCCACACATTACATCATTCATGCTCAATACATACTAGTTCCTTCATTAGCCCAAAGGCTGATATGGAAACATTATTTGGATTTGTTTTCAAGTTGGCCCTCCCCTAGCTTTGCCATCCTTATGGCTAGTGACCTCAGAGGAAAGAGAGTCACTGTTCTGACAGCGCTAGCAGGACCCAGCCATGACGTTCATTGGTCAAGCCTGGATGTACCGAATTCTTATACTTCTGTATTGTCTTGGGACCCATCTCAAATGCAAGTTTAACTGTCTCATACCAGGGCAGGGCTCAGTCACCCCTAACACAGTCTTCAGTTCTATGTCCCCACCCCCAGTTCTCAATGTGGACGACCCAGCTACCTGCCTTATACAACTTCCCCCTGGTGACCACATCTCTGTGGGGCAACCAGATACAACCTACTAGACTGGACCTGCGGCCCCCACATCCTGCACAGCCTGTGCAGACCCAACATAATGACCACCTCTCAGTCATAGCAGGACCCCTGGGACTCACACCTGCTTGCTCTAAACCCCCCAGTTAAAACCCCCAATGGGAACCCTATCTGGGTAATGCCCTGGACAGAACAAAGGTGTTGGCCCAGGGGCCCCTCTCTTTGCCAGACCCTTCACTCTGGGCCTCCTGTGACCAGCATGGATGGAGGATGCCCTCCTATTTCATGGTGCCCTCCCTGCCAGAATCTATAGGTGATACATCTTTGGACCTGTTTCCTACTGTGCTGGTATAATGAAATTGCACCTTCCACACGAAGAACCAGGGGTGCCCCAAGCCGGGTTCCCCCAAAGATACTGATGGGGATGCAAGGCCAGGCTCTCAGTTCCAGAGCGATTGTCAGGGAGGCACACTTGGACATGGGTCAGCTGAGAGCCACAGGGACACCCTCCAGTGTAAGCAAGCTCCCCAGGCAGGGGTCCTGATCCAGCTCCCTTCGTGTGCCATGAGGGTGGGCTGCCAGCCACTCTGGCACTGGAATCCCAATTTGGCTCTCAAGATACCACATCACATGATCACCCCAAAACCAACAGCTGTAGCTGCAAGGCTGGAGTGCGTTGAAGCACATACTTGCCTTGGGACATAACGTAAGCACCACTGGGAGCTGGACAGCCAGTACACTGTCCAGCACTGGGATCTGCGGTATTTGCAGCTTGGAGGGGAACGGATGGAAGAGAAATGCAGAAGCGTCCACAGGAAGCACCTGTGGGCCCTGACTTTCGCAGGCTCCACCCCATCCCACCAGACCACACACCTGTCTGGGGCTGACGAGCGAGGTGGCTGCAGCGGATGAACACGCGGCTTTGCTGGAAGAGCGGTGAAGAGGAAACCTCAGCGCAAACGCACATTTAGTGTGATTTGGCGTCTTTATATTTCCCTTTCTGACATTATTTTACTTACTTGAAACTGAATTTTTTAGTGTGCTGAAAGCTGCCTGTTGTGACGATCTCATACTAAACAGATGGAGAAAAGGTATTGAATTAAACTATGGAAATTTATTTCCCACTAAGTTATTCCAATTGAAAGTGTAAGAAGGCTTTGAATCACTTAAATATTCTCATGGGATTGCAAAACGGCACTTCATGTGAATTTGACAGTTCTCCAAAATGTTCTGCTCATCCAGCTGCCCTGCTCCTCCCCAACCCTGAGAGCAAAATGAAATCAATACCTGTTACCATTTAAGTAACTGGCTTTTGTAGCTGCAACTGTTGCTGGACAATGGCCAGTGACAGGTGCTACAGGTATGAAATTAAGACATGGCGACTGGAGTTACTACCACATCAGTTTTTGTTTTGTTTTGTTTTTTTGTTTTTTTACAAAGAGTCTCACTCTGTTGCCTGGGCTGGAGTGCAGTGGTGTCATCATAGGTCACTGCAACCTCAAACTCCTGGGCTCCAGTGATCTTCCTGCCTCAGCCTCCTGAGTAGCTGGGACTATAGATGCTCGCCACCATTTCCAGCTAATTTCTCTCTCTCTCTCTCTCTCTATATATATATATATATAATTTGTTTATAGAAAATTATATATAATTTGTTTATAGAAACTTGCTCTTGCTCACGCTGGTGTTAAATTCCTGTTCTCAAGTGATCCTCCCTCCTCGGCCTCCCAAAGTGCTAGGATTACAGGTGTGATCCACCACACCAAGCCCATATCAGTTTTTAAAAGCTGGCAAGAGAAATGTGGACAAGTTACTTGGCCATTTTTCTGGTCTAACACAGTCCTGGATTTATCTCCATGGCAGCTGGTAGCAGACACGGTAGGCTTCATCCGGTAACTTCTAATCACAGAAGGCTGACACTCATGGGTCCTCCCTATCCCATGGGCCAGCAGATGCGCTTCCACGCATGTATAGAAGTGGGTAGAGCATGCCTGCTTCTCCAGATACACCAAGGGGTATGGACGATGCCCTGAGCACCCATCTATGATGACTGGCTAGGCTGGGACCCCTAACCCCTAAGCCCCCTTGGGACCACTCCCTCCCCCGCCGCCCCAGAGGCATTTGCTCCAGTTCATTTTCTACCTCCCCTCCCCTAAATAGACATCGCCTGAGGACAGGCACTTGGCTTGTTTGGCTCACTCTGAATCACAAAGCCCAGAACAACACGGAGAACACAAGAAGTGCCCAATAAAGACCTCTGCACGAGTGGCTGGCCACAGCGGGTAAAAGCACCTTGACTTCTGAGTCTGGGAGGGCTGTGGCCTGGGTCCTCTGAAGGGCACACACTCCTGCTTCCAGATGCCTCTAAAATGCACTTTGTTATGTCTAGGGCTCAGAGGAAGGTGAGTCCCCAAGCACCCTGCCAAAAGACAACAGAAAGGAGGACCGGGACAGCCACAGCAAGTACCGCACTGATATCCCATCCTCAGGCAGGACAAGGCCTGGGGCAGGCAGAGCATCTCAGGTGAGCAGGACTGGCTGGCAGGACATGCAGGAATCCTCTCTGGAGGACAATGCAGTTGATACCAAGGGTGCGTAGAGTGGGATCAACACAAGCAGCCTCACCCGAGACCACCAACCACACCAGAAAGGTCCTCCTCAAGTGAGAGCAGAGGCAAAGGAGGCAGATGTGGATTCCTGAGGTTATCAGGCATGGAAAATAAACAGAGTGACTATGAAATGCCTAAAGATGGAGAAACAACAATGAGCAAATCCTATTTTCCAAATAGCACAAATGAGCAGGGATGTTCTAGAAATGTTAAATATTAACAGAATAGAGTCATCACTCAGTCGAGAAGTAGCTGTAGTGCTGAAAAGATGAGGGAGTGGAAGAAGTAACCCAGGATGTGTACGAGTGACCTAAGAAGATGGATCGAAACAGAAGGTGCGGAAGCACAGACGGCAGGGCCAGTGGCTTTGGCAGGGACAAGAGGGCAAGATTTGAAAAAGTAATGGTCAGGAATTTCACATAATTAATAAAACACTTCAAAAGTGCACAGAAAGAAAGCAAATGATACCCCAAGGAGAAAAAAAAGTAATCCCACACTTCAAAGCATGGTGAGTATCTGTCTTTCCTCTTGTGATACTGAATCAGAAGCAGGCTTTACAACAACGTCTCTGCAGAGAGTAGCTAGTAAATGCAGAAGGCCGTGCTGGCCACACAACATAACAAAATGCGTTTTAGAGGCATCCGGAAGCAGGAGTGTGTGCCATTCAGAGGACCGAGGACCCAGGCCACAGCCCTGCCAGACTTAGGGGTCAAGGTGCTTTAACTTGCCGTGGTCAGCCAGCCACTCGTGCAGAGGTCTTTATTGGGCACCTTGCGTGTTTGCCAAGTTGTTTTGGGCTTTGGTGATTCAGAGTGAGCTGAACAAGCCAAGTGTCTGTCCTGTGTTGCAATGTGTTTACAATCCTTTAAAAATGCAAAAGCTTCTCAGCTTGAGGGTGATACGAAAATATACTTGGGGCTGGACTTGGCCTGGAGTTTGCTGATCCCTGGAATATACCCATCAAAAAACAAGCACATGACAACTCTTATAATCCAAAATAATGACAGCTAAAGGAGGCCTTTTTCACCCCACACAGAGGCAAAGCCGAACTTTGTATCAGGAGTGGGGCCACCAATCAGTTTGACAGGCACCACAGCTTCCTCCCTGGCCCATGGCTCCAGGATGGCCACACTCAGCTGCCCAACATAACAGGGATGCAGGCATCTACATGCACACTGGGTGGCTTGTGCCTGGACACACCGCCCATGGGGGACAGGAGCACTCATAGGGTCATCAGGTCCTCAACCTCCAAATCAGTGTGTGACCACCACATAGGGACCAACATGTCACAGCATTCAATAGGAAACAGTACACAGATCTCACAAAATCTAAGACACCATTACATATAAGATGCACCACATATAGGTATCACTGTATTAAATAAACTATGGCATGTCACTGATTCTAAATTCCAGGGACATTAAATGCAAAAACGTGCATTCAGAAAAGATCAATGTGGTAAAGGCACTGATTTGTGAAATGGAAAAAAAACAAGAATTTTAAATGGCTAGGTTTTCCAGATATTGACATGTAACACTTTTAGTCACCATTTTTGGTTAATTCTATTAATAGTAACTCTGGATGTGTCCTTCTGAAATGCATCCACCATTCCCCGCAGAGCCTTTATAAACAGAACAGGCCACATGCATTTGCTATGATCCTGGCAGAAAGGAGACCACCAGGCACTCTTGGAGGCCTGCGTGCACCACCCTCCCAGGGCCCTCCCGTTGCCCCAGGAACCACTGTGGGGTTCTTCCCTAGGGGAACCAGTCACCTTTATTCCACTTTCTTGTATCCCTGATCTTCCCTTTGGCTTCCCACAGCATGTTCTGCTTTGACAGAAGTTTCTAGTACATGAAAGTGCCCCTTCCTCCATTCCCTGGGTTACAACTGAGGTTGCACCTGCAGTCATCTCTTTCCAGATCTTGAGGGCAGAAGACCAAGTGTACAGTGGCAGCTGGTGGCTCCGCTTGGATACTCACAAGGGACCTTACCTTTGCAGCTGTTCTATTTGCAGCACTGCCTTCCTGAGGGATTCTTCCAACTTAGAAATCTAAACATAATTAAGTTAACATAATTAAATGACTTATTATCAGACAAGCTATATCAAGTGACAGTTCAAAGAAGACATTTTGACCCTTCAAATTTCTTAAACCATGAATCAGAATATGAGTTACTCCACATGGAAGTTGCCTTCATGCAATTTTAAGTGAATCTGCGCTGGGTCCGATTCATCATGTACTTGGGAAACTGGCACTGGGACCAGCAGTGCAGAGCTAAGTGCAGCCAAGCCCAGGAGATGCACTGCAGACCTGCACAATGCCGAGACAGGTGGGCAGAGCCCCGAGGGGCGTCAGCCGGGCACCTGAGAGTGCTCTGGCCTCAAAGGCTAAGACACAGCCCCCTGCGCTCTAGGATGCTCCAAAAGCATGGTCTCTGTGGCTGTGTCAGTGGTGGGACCCTGACCCTGCCACATGGTGGCTGTTAGACCTCAAGGTATTAATGTCAATTCTCCTGTCTGAGGGTTGGGTCTGTAAATGTGATTAATACCACCCACCTTTGAGGTTTGTTGCAGGATTAGAACAGTTGTACACTGAATGCTTAGCTGGGGCTGGGAGCCTTCCAGAAGCCTCTGGGCAGGACTCTGGGTAGCAGTGGGGAGTGTTGGGCAGGTGTGTGTGGGCAAGGGTGGGGGTGTGGTGTGGGGATGTCAAGTGGAGGTGGGGGCATGGGGTGGTGTCAAGTGGAGGTGGGTGTATGGGGCAGGGTGGCGGTATTGAGTGGAGGTAGGGGTGTCAGGAGGGGCAGGGGTGTGGGTGGGGTGGGAGTGTCAAGTGGAGGTAGGGGTGTCTGGAGGGGAGGGGAGTGAGGCAGGGTGGGGGTGTCGAGCGGAGATGGCGTGTTGGGAGGGATGGGGAGTGGTGGGAGCAGGTGGGGGTGTGAGGGGGTGACAGTCTCCTTGGCCAGGCTGTGCGCAGAAGCCTGTTGCCCCTCAAGCTTCCTGTGGCTACGGGCCCACAATCAGCTTCTGGACTCTTGGGAGGAGCCCTGTCGTTTGGTGGCTTTAACACTGGGTTATTTATTTTACCTACTGCATTACCTTCAAATTTGTTTTTAAAAGGACTTTTATTAGAAAACAAGATGGCTAAGCAGAAAAGCCTCCAGTCACCTCCAGGGTCCCAAGGCCCCGACACAGCCTGGCCAGTGAAGCAGTGCCCGGGTGGGTAGTGGCCTGGAGAACTGCAAGCAGGTGTTGGGCACAGGCTGACTGTCAGAAGGGGCTAGTGAATGTGTCCCCACAGCTGGACAAAGAAAAACAGATCTTACGTCTAGTCGCCCACCCCCTTTAAGAGCAATGTGTTAATTAACAAGTCTGACATTTAAGTCAAAAGGTCAAAAAATTCAAGAGGCAATGATTTGATTTACCTTTTCTCTATAGAAGGCTAACAACCTCTTCCTGTGTTTTTCTTGAAATTCTGAAATCTGAGAAGATAGTATGGTTCAGTTGCTGACAGTGGTGCGTGGTCTCTGAGTATGACGCCTTGTCACAGGGAAGCAGGAGGCTGGGAGGGGGGACCTCAAGTGCGATTTCCTCCCCCAGACACAGTTCCACAGGGTCAGGGGCTGCTGCAGGATAGACGCTCAGTGTGGATGTCCGAGGGAAAAGTGACGCCTGCAGGCATGGTCACACGCAAACACAGATAGGGTTAATGGGCTCAGGCCTGTCTGTCCAAAGGGCTTAAGTGGTGCTCTTAACCTGGTGATGGGACAGGACATGTGACCCACCCAGGGGTGTCCCTTGGACAATGGTGACTGGTTAGAAGAATGGCCTCCTGACCAAACAGTGCTACCAGAGAACATCCTGAAACTGGTAAGTAGACCTCTGGCTGGGGAGGGTGCAGAGAACAAAGTCACACAAGACTGGCAAAGCTGGCTGATACCAATGGTCTGGTGGCCTTGTCGGAACTGCCAGAGCCAGCCATGCCTGAAACAGTCCCATCCCCGGCCTTCCCATTTACATGAGCCACAGACTGCACATTTGCTGTATGGGTATCTGAGAGTGCCGACATAAATGAGAAAACAGCGGTCTGTGATTTACTCAGAGGAAGATGGAACTACTTTATGAGTAAGGTTTTCAGGGCTGTAGCCATGTTTCCCAACTGCTGCAGCAATGCCACACCGACAGCTTGCCTGTCTCCTCTGTCTGATTCCTCAACAGGCTCCACGCCCTGGCAGGAAGGAGGAATGCAGACCCCTAACCACCTGTCTTTGGTACAGGGCCCGGAGACCTGAGGCACAGAGAGTGCTAGCACTTGGGGAACAGCCACAGGACAGAAGTTCCTGGAGCATGTGTCCATACCAGGGTCAACCCGAGGGCTCTTGATCCAGATGGACGCTGGGGTCCAGCAAGGCCTGCCGGCAGGTAAATGCTTATGCTGGCAGGGCTGTTTTTACACACAGACCTTGGAGAGACCTTGACCAGTCTGTGGCCACCCTGATTTGGTGAGACAGACATGGCTGCTGCACAGATGGGGCTGCAGGGAAAGCTCCCCAAGGGGACCTGAGCTGGGAGGGGGCCAGTCCTGCAGAATGAGGAGTCCAGAGAGCTGCTCCTGAGCTTGATGGGCAGCCAAGACCCACTGGCCTGTATGTAACTGTGTCCGCATCAGGACAAGGACCCATCTCTAGGGCTCCACCGGGGGAGGTGCCCAGGCCCCTGCAACCAGCTGCTGCCACTGGGTTTGTCTGGTCTGGACTCTGACCAGGCTGCTGTGCTCCGGAGACCTGAGACACTGGCTGTGGCCTCAGAAGGGGGTAGATTTCATTAACAAAACCAACATGAAGGAGTCCGTGAATGTTTATCTTGTAGAGATAGAGAAGCAGGTCAATAAAGGACTGCAGCACCCAGGGCCGAGGCTGCTCAGGGGCCCAGGGAAGAGCTGCTAGCTTTGCCCACACCCTACAGATTGGCACAAAAATGAGAGGGAAGGAAGAGGCTGGAGGCAGACAGCAATTTCCTCAAGAGGAACCTCAGGGTTTGGGAGTGGTGCAAGCCAGTGAGGTGTCTGTGCCAAGAGATCAGGAACGGGGCCCCTCATCCCAAGCCCAGCCTCAGTCTTACTACCTTGTCCTCCACGAGGGGTGGCAGGTGCCTCTGTACATGGACACAAGCTCCTGATCGCGCTGGGACCAGCATCGGGTCTACAGACCCAATGCTGATGAACCCTGTCTCAGGGCAGAGGCTAGGCAGACAGAAAGGATCTCAGAAGGGTCGTCAGGAAAAGGAAGATGTTTAACTGTCACAAACTAGATCAAGAAGGGCACACGGCACCCAAAGACCTCTAGCGAGTAGTAGCTGAGGGGATCCTCTCACCCTGTCCTAGGGCAGGTTCCTGGGCCTGAGCTACTGGCACTCAGAGTTTTGGTCTCAGGCTGATTTTACACTCTTAAAAGTTACTAAGGAGCCCAAAGAGCTTTGTTTATCTTGGTTTTATCTGTCAATATTTACCCTATTAGAAGTTAAGACTGAGAGACATTTACAATATTTATTAATTCATTTAAAGATAACAATGAACCCATTCTATGTTAACATAAATAACATGTAATATGTCACACAGCCTTGGAAAACTCCACTTCACACCCTGAAAGACAAGAGAGAAAAAGGCAAACACTGCCTCAATACAACTACAAGACAGAAGGGCCTAGGAGGCGTGGACGCCCATAGCCCACCCTCGAAGCCCATCAGGCATGGGAGGCAGAGTGTAGGCAGGTGGCCGCAGGGGCTGGCCTGCTGGGTCTTCTCCCAAGATGTCCGGCCTCTTCAGAGGCTGCCCTAGGAATGCCACTGTACTTGGTGAAGCCATCCCAGAAGCAGTGTGGCCTGTTGTTCTGATTCTATGACAACCTAAATGTTTTACAACTCAGGCAACTTCTAGCCCAGAGGGGTCTTGGCCTGAGTAAGGGACCTGCTGGGGCTGAACAGGATGGGTAGGCAGGTGTGTCTTGTACCATGTTTCTGTGGGACTCTGCCGGGCTCCTGGATGGTCAGTGTCCTGGTCTGGTGCTCAGTTTGTGCCGATCCTGCTTTCCTGGGCATCTCTAGCTGCCACATAGCTTCTGTGTATCCAGCTTCTGGGCGCTTTCCTGAAGAATGTGGCTGGGCATAATCTGAGATGGGAACAGCACGGGGGTTCCGTGATACTGTGGGTGACTTGGGCTCTTTCAGAGCCAAGAAGCCTTGCTGCGAGAGGACAGCCTCCAGAGGAGAGAGAGGACTGTCTTGGTGGCCTGGCTGACCATGCCTGAAGGTACAAGCCCATGGGGGAGAATGACACTGAGGTCCATCGTTGGCCTCTCGTCTCAGGTAGGGGGCAGCTCCCAGTTGTTCCTGACCTGGCCTCTTCCCCCAAGGGCAGGTGCGAGGTGGCCTAGGAGCCACACTGGGAGCAGCAGCGTTAACGGAAGATGGAAAGGAGGGCAGGCTAGGGGCCAAGGAGAGGACCCCTCCCCTTCTGGACAGCTTCCCCTGCAGACCAGTGGGCTGGAGGCTGTCCAGTGATGTCCAGGGAGGTCAGGATGCAGGGGTCAGAGAGGACAATGACCTGCTTAGAAGCTGGGGGTGGGGAGGGTGCACAGGCTGCAGAGGGCACAGCGTGGAGGTGCATGGTGATACACAGTGATGTGGAAAATGGTTAGGAAGAAACAGGTAGAGAGGGGATAAGCTGCAAGAGTGTCGTGGCAGCTAGAAAAAGCACATCAGGAGGGGAAAGGCTGTGGAGCCAAATACCAGGGGCTCAGCAGGTCATTCATGGGCCTGGCAGCAGAAGGCCTCATGATTCTCAGAAAAGGACAACCTTAAAAATAAACCTGCTGCCCTAAATCCAGAGAGCTCCGACCTGGGCCAGGGGACTTCTAAACCTGAAATATCAAGGTACATCTAACTGTGAATATTGGGGTGGGGGGGCTGTCATGCCCAAAGGACTCCATAACTGAACTGAGATTACTTCTGTCGCAATGTGACACCAAAAGTACAAACAACAACAAAATGGATCAAATAGACTTCGCCAAAATTAAAAGCTTTTGTGCTACAAATGTTTCCCAAAATAAATAAATAAATAAAAGACAACCCACAGAAATATTCCAGCAGAACATATTTGCTGATCACGTATCTTTGAAGGGACTAGTCTTCAAAACATGTCAAATGCAGGGTCTCTTTAAGACAGTGTGCCTGGGCCACCTCAAGACCCACAACTCACCTGGGAGGTTTCTCTGGAGTATTTCTTACACAGACCATCTATGCCCACAAAGAAGGCCTGAATGTCTGAGTCAGTCTGTAAGAGAAAGAAAATGACTCTATGCTAATTGCTTCTAATAAATGCTTCTGCCCACTAGTTTAAAAATTGTACTTCAAGATACAGAATTAACCATAGATGACACAAGTGACTAGCACGTCACAACGTGTGACTGGCATGTCAGGTGCCCCAGGAGGAGCAGCAGCCCTCATCAGCAGGACGGCCACATCTCCTGCTAACCGGGGTGTGTCTGCAGTGAGAGCTTGGAGGCAGAGTGGCCTGGCAGCTGCTGAACCCCTCTTGGCTACACGTCATTATCTGTGAGGCAAAAAGACACATCTCTATGTCAAAGGCTCATGGTGAGGGTTAAGGTCAACGTGAATGAAGGCCTGGAGCGCAGGGCACAGCACATAATGGAAACGTACTAAGATCAGAAGAATGATACAAGCTGATGAGGATAGCTAATAACTATGTAGTCACAAGTGTATGTTGAGATATAAAAAGCAAACAATAGGGACTTAAGAAAAAATAAGGGTTTAAGAAATGATGTCCTTAAGGAAGATACTCCCAACCTCCTTCTAAAGTCCCTACAATAGGCACTGTCCTGCCTCTCCCACCTCTCCTCACCCAGGACCACGTCAGCACAGGATGCCAGGGTGTCAGCCACCCAGGCATGCATGGAATTGTAGAAGGAATATAGGAATCCCTGGATAAGGACACACCAGACTGAAGAGATGCAGGAAGGGCCTCGGCCTCCTTCCTACTGTCTTGTGGTTCAGGATGGCGTGTGTGGACCCGGGTTGAGATGGTCATCTGAGCCCCACCCCCACATCTCCTCCCCAAATCCCACTGAAGGGACAGTAAAATTAAATGTAGGGAAAATACCAGAATAGTGATAGAAAATAGGAACTAATACCTTGAATGGCCCTTTAAAGAATCCAGAAGACAGAGTGCAGATGGGCTCAGGTGAGGGCACCAGCTCTGATAAGCAGGGCTGGGTCCAGGTAAAGAGGCCCTGGGATCCAGTCCAGTGTCCACTCCTAGGCCTCTCAGGGCAGTGGCCAAGCAGGGCGTCAGACCCAACAGAGGGAGACCAGGCTCTATGGAGGAGGGTGGGAGTCCCTGGACATGCCAAGCTGTAAAAGCACAGGCAATGTGCCCTGCGGGCTAGTGCCCCTAGGGGTGGCTCTGCACAATTGCCCTGAGACCCTGGGTCGTCACCCAACCCCTCTGCCCCCCGCTCCCCATGTGCAAAAGTGGAACATAAACAATGCCCTCCCCCGACCCACTGGCATGGTGGCACCAGGTAGCACAATATGGGGAAGCACATGGGATAGAGCTTGGCCCCTGTTGGCTGCTCAGCAAGCAGTGACAACCACTGTCATCTAAACATAGCCTATGCATACACAGACCCCTCAAAAACAAGACTAAGAACTCTGTGGACCAGGAATGGCAGAGGCAGAAGGGGTCATCAGACCCCTCTAGCTCTAGGCCTTCTGGGTGGGGGAACTGAGTCATTCACACATGACAGGGACCTGGATGGGACAGGAGGCAAGCGTGGAGATGGGGCAGCCAACATGTGACACCACAGCACAGACTCAGGGCCTCAGCAAAGCCTGAACGGAAGAACCATGACGCCAACTACCACAGCCACACGCACAAAGTCGAAGATAAAGCAGGAAGTGAGATTTTCTTTTCTTTTCTTTTTTTTTTTTCATTGCCTCTTTGATCAGGTCTTTATTCAAAATAAGCTGTCCAAAATGATTTGACCTTTATGGAATAAACAAATTTAAGAGTTTATGCAGTAGGCTTCTTTTCTTCTGTGGTGGGTTTCCTTTCTGCTGGCTTCTTTTCAGCTGCAGGTTTCTCGGTAGAGGCAGCCTTTTTTCCCAACAAACGCTGCTTCTGCTTCTTAACACCAACAGGCTTTTTTCCTTTCTTCACTACTACAGGCTTTTTGCCTGCAAGCCCCTTCTCATCTGATTTGGCCCGTACTGCTGCAGCTGCCTTATCCACCCCAAGTTTGTGATTCCTGGCCTGGCGAAGAATGGTATTCCGGTGCATGGTCTTTGCATATGGGTTTAGCTTCAACATGATTCTCAGGTTTTTCAATGGATTCTTCTTCAGGACCCTACGATGAATCTTCTTGCGTGGTGCTCGAAGAGCTCTTTGGATCTCTGGGCTCTTCAAGATTCTGCTAAGGTCTGTGTGATCATCTTGTGCATGGGAAGGTTGTAGTTGCTCTTGAGGGAAGCAGCTTTACGCCAAGTGCCATATAATTTATCTAACTTCTGGAAGGCACTTTCAGTCCAAATGCAGAAACGTCCCACATGTCCACCAGGAGCAACTTTGAAAATGTTCAGCTTTCGTACGTTAAGCAGAGTAATTCCAGGGATATTCCTGAAAGCCTTGATGATACCATTGTCCTCATTGTAAATGATGCAGGGTCCCTTGCGCTGGACACAACGACGGCTTCTCATTTTGCCCTTGCCAGCCCTCATTCGCTGAGAGGCATACACCTTTTTGATATCATTCCAGGCTTTAAGTTTCTGAAGAAGTAAAACAGCCTCTTTGGTCTTCTTGTAGCCTTCAACATTATCTTCGACCACCAAAGGAAGTTCAGGAACTTCCTCAATACGATGACCTTTAGACATGACCAGTGCTGGTAAGGCCGAAGCAGCCAGGGCAGAGCAGGTGGCACACCGCTTTTGGGTTGTGTTCACTCTATGGTGCCAGAGACGCCAAGTCTTGGTTGGTGCAAACATGCGGCCCCCACAACACATATTTCCAAAAGCACCCTGGCCAGAACAGTGAGTCCCACCACCTCGAACTCTGGGAATTCTAGCCACAGCCCTGCCAGTACCCCAAGACTCAGCACTGGTCTGATGACCTGCTAATTCACTGACAGCATAGGGCTGCCTGTTGTTTTTGCTCAAGTTGGTGTGAACGAAGTTCACAATATCTGGTCGAATGGGAGCCTTGAAGACTGCAGGCAAAGTGACAATTTTGCCAGACGACTCCTCCTTTTCAGAGTACACCGATACCAGTGGACGAGCACAAGCCATGGCGGGGAGAGGAGAAGGCCACGCTCCTCTCAACCCGGCGGCTCCTACAGGAAAAGTGGAAGTGAGATTTTCAAAGTGCTAAAAAGCATTCATTTTCAACAAAGAATTCTAAACTCTGTGAAAACATGCTTCAAAAATAAAGGCAAAAGAAAAAAAGAGCCATTTTTTTCCAGATAAACAAAACTGGCAGAATTCGTTACCAACAGCTCAGTGCTAAAATAATAAAAGGATTTCTCTACAGATAGGAGAAATAATCCCTGATTTGGGAGGAAGCAAGGAGCATGAGAAAAAGGAGAAATGTGGGAAAACCTAGGTGAATGTTCACGCATGCAGCCAGCTGCACTGTGGCCACAGAGCACAGCGAGGGAACCGAGTGAAAGTGACCTGAGACCTCTTGTGCATCAGGAAACCTGATCCATGTGAGACTGAAAAATCAAGATTGTAATCTCTAGGATAACCACAAACTAATGTTTTCTTTTTGAAACTTCTTTTGTTAAAAAATTAATTGTATTTAATTTTTTAAGAGTGGGGAGGGTATGCCCCACAAATAATATAGTAATGAGGACTCACAAACCCCAAAGCATGACAAGGCGTTCAGTGTTTGATGTCATCATGACAGAAGGCATAAACAGTGGTGACAATCAATGCGGAGACAGTCACCCGATGCAGTCCATTAGGCAAGATGGCACGAGAAATCGTTTAAGTGCCCTACCCTCACCTAAATGGCTAGCAGACACCAATAACACCACAGTAATGAATTCACAGAGCTTTCTCCACGTGGCTAGAAAAACGTGCTGTCAAATGGCACACTGTCACAAGTAGGAAAGGGTACCACAGCAAACTCTCTCTTTTATAAGCATGAATGCTAGATTAAGCTACTTTTTTTTTGAGACAAGAGTCTCACTCTGTTGCTCTGGCTAGAGTGCTGTGGTATCAGCCTAGCTCACAGCAACCTCAAACTCCTGCACTCGAGCGATCCTTCTGCTTCAGCCTCCTGAGTAGCTGGGACTACAGGCATGCACCACCGTGCCTGGCTAATATATATATAATTTTAGTTGTCCAGCTAATTTCTTTCTACTTTTTTAGTAGATACGGGGTCTCGCTCTTGCTCAGGCTGATCTCGAACTTCTCAGCTCAAACGATCCTCCTGCCTCGGCCTCCCAGAGTGCTAGGATTACAGGCGTGAGCCACCGCGCCCGGCCACATTAAGCTATTTCTTTTTTTTTTTTTTTTCTTTTTTTGTTTTTGCCACTTCAGGTGCTAGAATACATTAAGCTATTTCAACTAAGCAGCAAGTGGGTTCTTCTGCTACGAATGCCAACCCTGATCTACTCTGTCTTAAAATACAGACAGATTGTTTGTATATATTTTCTTAGGGATGCCAGGCTGTACGAAGGATTTTCTTGTTGAAGTCTAGGCTGTCAACACTTATTTCATCTTTCTTTCACTTGTTGCTTACAGACTTTTTGTGGCTTCAGAATTGTGCGAGGCTTACTGTTTCCCTGGGATGCTTCTAGGCTCATGTCTCGTTTTTGTTCCTGAAAAACTTTCTGAAGAAATTACTGTAAGATCTAGTCACAACAACACTGTCAGATCCGTTCCAACAACATTCAAATTTGTCAAACATGCAGTCATTTTCATACCACAAACAAAGTATACTTCTGAGGTATTCATGCACCCGGTATATCTCCACAGGTATGTTTTCCATAGTTAAATCTCAAATTCTGACTGACAAATAGTCTCTAGTCATCATATATCAACCACTATGGCTGAATCTTACATCATAAATAAATGGATAATTTTGGGGAAAAAATGACCTGTTACTGAAATCTTCCGGTTCTTCACACAGTTCAGAATGCCTATCACAGAGGGCAGGTGGTCTCATGTCACAGGACCCAGTAGTTTCTTCACTGCTGCTCTACACAAATGTGTTACAGCTGTTTGGATAAAAATCTGCTGCTGTAATCATCTCTG